GCCAGCAAAGCAGTCCACGTCAGCGTCGCACACGTCGCACGCCACGGAGCGGAAGTCCCCAACGATGCCGGCCGACCGGTAGTTCATCGGCAGCAGGGCCCGCCCGTTGAACGTCAGGCACCCCACGACAAACCTTCGGCCGTCGCTCCCCCGCGCAACGGTGCCGTCCATCACGAAGCGGCCGCTGCCGGCGTTCCCGTGCAGCGCGAGGGTGCTTTGCGTGAGCTCCGCGCCGCGCGGATGGGACGGCGCAGACAGCAGCGCCCCGACGACAACGTTGCCGCGCACCGACAGCCACGACCCGGACACAAACGACGCCGACACCTGCAGCACCAGCAGCGCGCCGTCGCTCAACGCACCGGTGTTGCCGTTCACGACGACGGCAGACGCGTTAGCCGCCACCCCGTTGCCGAACACCAACCCGCGCGCGGCGTACACCCGGCTCCCCGACACGCGCAGCACCGCGCCCCCCACCGCCTCCACGCGCGCACTCGCGTACAACGCGCACTCGCCCCCAAACACAACCGCGTCCAGCGCGACCCCGCTGCCGACGAGCCCCAGCACGGCCCCGTCCACTACCACCGTCCGCCCACCAGTCAGCACGCTCACGAGTGCCACGCCGGACACAACCAGCGTGGAATTCACCAGCCGCAGGTCCGACAGCACCAGCACCGGGGCGTACAGCGAGGACCCCGAGCCTGGGAGATACACAAGCGGTGTCGGCTTCACGCTCACCAGCACGGAGTCGGTGATGGTCAGCGCGGAACCCACAGGGAAGGCGCCCTTCAGCACAATCGCGCTGTTCATTGCCTCCACGCCGCACACCGACAACTCCACCGACCGCCCCTCGTCGCCCTCCGCCACCCCCGCACCGCGCAGCCCCCCGCCGCCCATCACGTACAGCACGGCGCCGTTCCGCAGCGACACGTCCTGAATAACGATCCGCACGCCGTCTCTCGCCATCCACGGCACGTAGATCACCGGGCTCACGCCGTCCAGCACCACGTGGCGCAGCGTCACCTCGTGCGCGCCGTTCGGCACAACGAACACCGACCCCACCGTCACGCCCTCGAGGAGAAACACACCCGACGCGGTGCCACCAGCGGGCGGCAGCGCGGGCTCCCCCACAGGCAGGCATGCCTCGCCGTGCCCGCCGCCGCCGCTGCCGCTGCTGCACGCACACACGCACACGCCGCCCTGCTCGCTCGCAGACGCCGTCCCGGGCGCGTAGCAGTACGTGTCCTTGTCGCAAGTGCCACACCCAACAACGTCAATGCTCCCCGCCTCGCCAAAGCCCGCGGCGGCGTACTCGTCCGCCGTCGACAGGACACGCCCATCCGCGCGGTTGCACGCCACCCGCAAATGCGCCTCCGCAGCGAGCGAGACACTCACCGACAGCATCCGCACGAAGAGTCCCTGGTTGCGCACGAAGCTCAGCGCACTCCCGATCGCAGTCACGGCGCCAGTGGCGTAAAGCATCTCCTTCGAGACGCTGTCGTGCATATTCTCCTTCACCAGCAGCATCGCCCCGCCGCTCAGGCTCACCGCCGAAGAAAACAGCACCGCGTAGCTCTGCGTCGACGCAAAGTCGCTCCGCACAAACTCCAGCGCGGAGCCCGACACGCTCACGTCCCCACGCACCGACACCGCGTGCCTGCAGAGCAGGAAGTCGTTGTCCACAAAGGCGAGCACGGAGCCGGCGACGACCGTCACACCGCCCTCCACCGACACGCCCAGCCCCAGCGCGGTCTGCACTGAGAGCCGGTCCAGGTACAGCGCCCCGCGCGACGACAGCGCCACGCCGCCGACCGCCAGCACGCCAACGGCGTCGCTAAACACCGCCACCACCTGCGTGCGCGCGACGGTCAGCACGCCCCCCGTCAGGTTCACGCCGTACAGCACGAGGCACCCCGACGCGCCTCCAAGGTCGTAGGCGCTGCGGTATGCAACACGCGTCTCCGCAATCAGCGTCGAGTCCACCACCGTCACGCGCGAGCCCGGCGGGTATCGGTTCGCCACCAGCACGCCGCTGCCGGAGCGCACATTCAGCCCTCTGAGCAACACATCCACCCGCAGCTCAGCAGGCGGGTCGAACGTCCACCCGACAACGTAAAGGCTCGCCCCACCCTCAAACGTGCAGTTCGTCAACGTCACGTTGCGCGCGTTCCCAGACATCACGGCCACGTCCACCACGACGTCCGCGGCGAAGGTCACGCCAACGTAGCACACCGCTGACACCCCAAACCCGGTGTTCACCTCCTCAATCACTCTCACGTCCCGCACGCACGAGCCAGCGTCACCGCCATGGCTTTTGGGGACTTCGACGGGCAGGCAGTGCTCGCCGTGACCGCCCTCCGCGCACGTGCAGGCGCAGCCGTCATCCACGGTGGCCGTCGTCGTATAGGCGGGGAAGCACGATGCCGCGAGGGTGCACGGGTCGCTGCAGCTCCGGATCGTGGGGTTGTACTCCGGCGGGATCATGTAGCTCGCCTTCCCTCCGCCGCTCACAACGTTGCAGACAGCCACAACCGCTCCGTGTGTGAGATCGCTGGACTCTCTGCCTATCCGCAGCGCCGTCAGTGTCTCATTGTCGGAAGTGAACTCGTTGCCAGACACCGACAGCACCGACCTGCGGAGACTCAGCGATCGCATCACGAGGACGAAAGCACGCTCGGGGGACCCGCGGCAGAGGTTGCCGCTCACCTGCACCCAGGAGTTGTAATACACATAGAAGGAAGAAGCCGCGTACAACGCAGCCGCAGATACCTGCATGAGGTTGCCCTGAAACACGACAGCCGACAGGGACTCCACACGCAGCGCCTGCTCCAAGTGGACAATGTACGCTACCGGCTTCGACACAACGTTGCCCTGGACCACCACGGCCGAGTTGTTCATTGCTTCCAGCGACGGGGATGACCGCGAGCCCTCAAGCTGTATTATCACACTTTGGCTGCCTTCCACAACAAACGTGTTGCGCATCACCGCGAACAGGGAGTCCCACGACACCCGCAGCGCAGAGTCGACAGCGCAGATGACGCTTGAAAGTCCCACCACGGACCGAAACGTATTGTCACTGAGCACCACCGCGG